GACATAAACTTCCATTCTGGAACAGTTCTTAGATTTATAGAAACATTGCAAAGATAGTACAGATGGGTCTGGCATTTCCAACACCGGTTCTCTGACTGCTAACGGCTTCCACCTCCACAGCACATTTGCCCCAGCTGAAAATGTCATCGCTGCCTGCTTCGTTCAGCTCTCACTAGTTTTCCCTGGGTGTCCCTTTTCCTGTTGCTGGAAAATGTCTAGGGTGCCATGCGTATTCTTGTCTACTAAGCCTTCTCGGATAGCTGTTTGGTCTTTCCCTCGTTTTCATGACCATACCAGTTTTGAGGCATGCTGGCTTTTCCCTGTGTTTTTCTCAGAGATAGATGGGGAAATGAGTCCGGGGGAGGAGGACCAGCGAGGTGGGGTACCCTCACTTCACAGCCTCCCCGACCCTGCTCCCTGGAACTCAGTCACTAAACGCAGCTCTGTCCAGTGGAGAGTTAGTCTCCCTCTCCTTAATGGGGCTACAATTTCTACAGGAACTATTTAGAAAACTTTTATGAGGAGGTTGTTTTTTTGCTCCCATTTATTCATTTACCATTATTTATATCAGAAGGGACTTAAGGGTATTTACTATTTTTATAGTTTTTATGTTTTATGAGTCCATGCTTGCAGGGCACAGTGTTCGCCTTCCTTGTGGGGAGTTGGTACGCGTACATAACCCAACTTAGTTCCTATTTCACCCCCTTCCCATTTGAGAAAGATCAATCTCCCTCTTTCTATTATTTATCTCACTTTGCTTTTTATTTATATCTTGGGTTTCTCATACAAAAGAAACCATGCATTATTTAAGTTGTGGATCTGATTTATTTAACTTAATATCTTGGTCTCAGAGTGCATCTGTTTTCCCGCCAATGACTCCAGTGCATCCTGTATGTATTTATTTTAGACTTTGGATTACAATCTGATATCACTGCTACTCCCCCTCCCCTCCTGTTGATTCTAGTGCTTGCCATTGGTAACTCTTTTGGGTTGGTCTTAGATATTTTCACCATGTAGACCCATCTATATCTGTGTTTTTTTGCTTTTGGTTTCTTCTTTTTTTTAAAAAGCACTTCTTTTTGGCACTATGGGATGGCTCATTTTTTTTATATATATTTTGGCCCCAATCCTAAAATTAGCCATTTTTAATGATGCTCTGGTTCCTGATATTTGAGATGATTTTAGAAACCCAGATCTCAAGACAAGGTCTCAGCTTCTTTGTTGGTTACACGTCGTACTCAACCAGTGCTGGTGGGCATCCACCTACTTGCTCTGTGTCTCTTTAGTATTCTACCCCCATCTCCCAGCAAACTCAACACGGCCTTCCTAGCAATTCTTTTGTGTGCTGGCTAGAATGTGCTTCCGCTTCCTCATCTGACTCAAATTCTGCTCCTTCTGTAGGGCTCCATTCAAAATGCACCCCTTTCATGAAGCCTTTTCTAAACACCCGCTCAATGTCCCATAGCCCCGTGCTGTGGGGAACCCGAAGTCAGCGCTATGTCATACTGACTTTTATATCCCTAAACTCAGCAGTTAGCATACGGCCAACCAAATGGTTTTTGCTTAGTGAATCTTACTTGGTGAGGTTAACATCAGTATAAAATTCACTCTTTAGGGTACATCAGGGAGGAGGAGAATCACACACATGCAACTATAAAACCAAAACCCCTTCTATAGAAAGTTTATGACTAATGGATCTTCCTTGATCTCATGCCTGGGGATGTCCTATTTCAGTCAGATGTTACTGTGAAACTCAGAAGGAAGCACACTATAACTTCAGCACCCTCATTCCTCAAAACAGACCTTGTCTGTTGCCAGTACATGCACACATTCAAAGATAAGTTTCAGTCAAAAAAAAAAAAAAAACCACCATAAAGAAATTCACAGCCAGCTGAGGATTTAGCTCAATGGCATAAGCGTCTGTCTTGCAAGTGTGCAGTCATGAGTTTGAGCCCCAGTACAAAAAAAAACAAAAACAAAAACAAAAACAAATTCACAGCCATTCCAAGTCAGGACACCTCGATAAGGACTCTGCAGTGGCTCATGTTCAAAAAAGCTGATTAATTATGCTTTGTAGATATTTTCCAAAAACTGCTATCTCCTATCTACTCCATCACATTTATTGTCTAGGTCTTAGGGATGCAATTATAACAGGTCACCATGGACAGGACTGCATAACTGAGATGCTAGGAAATGTGTCCCAACTTTGGAAGATGCTGTGACTTTTTTGTAGGCACCATGGGGTAACAGTAGCCTCGAGAGACACCAAGACTCTTTCCTCTAGCAATTGCTTCACAAGTTGGTAATCCAGAGACAAGTATGGAGGTGAATCTTTGGCATGGGAAAGGAGGCGCTTTCTCCTTACTTTGGGCTTGTGGGGGTTCTCATGCTGAGATACAGAAAGGGCTAGAATTGTTTCTGTGACATGATGGGATGAGTATCATAAAGAGGCAGGCCAACATCTGGTGCCTCCATGGCAACAACCATGAACAGTGTGTCAGGACAGGCAGTCGTTACAGCAGAGGCTGTACCTTCTGGTCCCTCTGGATGGTGTCAACGCCTCTTCCCAGTGCTGGCCCCTGCATTCACTGCAGCCAGCTCCCTGCACAATGGCAGTTCCCACCACCAGCCCAAGGCTGTCCCTCTCTGACACAGCAGGAATACAGTTTGGAGGTTCCTATTTCCTGTATGGGCAGCCAGTTCCAGATCCGATACACAGAGAAGGACATTTCACTTCTGTGGAATTCTTCCCCAAAGTATATAACCTTAATCTAGTCATGAGAACATCTCAGACAAACAGATTGAGGGCTGTTCTAAAAATAACTGACCAGGACTCTTCAGAAGTACCCCACTCATGAAACAGAAGGAAAGATTAAGGAACTGTTGTGAATTGAAGGGAACAAAGAAGATTCAATGATGAATGTGTGAGATCCTGGATTAGATTTAGAACCAAATAAAGAAGACATCACATGAAGGGCTGGTAAAATCCAAATGAAGTCTGTGATGCAGACAGGCATTGTCCTAAGGCTAATCCTGTAGTCATGATACTGGTATCACAGTCGGGAAGCTCTTCAGAATGTTACCAAGGCAGGAAGCAGAATAACACAGAGAAAAGGATTTTGGGGCCAAAGAAGCTAAGACAAATGAGAAGTTCTGAACTTGCAGGACGGCAGAAAAATGGTGTCAACAAGCCTAGCATGTTAGGTTTCAGATACTTTTTGAAGGGTTTTGTGTACTGATTGGCAAATTCGATGGATCTGCTACACTTTATAGAGCTCAGAACTTGTGACTAACAAGAGGAGGAATGAGGGAGAGGGAGCAATTCAGGAAGACACCCAAGTTTCTCATTTGAGCAAGTGACTTTGTGGTGGAACATGGGCGAGTGAAATGGCAAACAGAATGGATGTGGCGTGAGGAGAAAGATGAGCAGCTTGGTGGGGGGCTGTGAGGCATCCCAGTGGGGATGTCTGCGAGGCCGTTCAACCACAACCTTGCACTTTCTGAGAGAATATCTTTGCTGAGTAGAGATCTGAGAGTGACTAACGTAGGGGTGATGGCTGAAACCAATGGGTGGACGGCCCCAGCCAGGAAGCAGGTATGAAAGAAAGAGAGCTGAGATGGCAACTGGAAAAACCCAGCGATGATGGAAAGAGGACAAGATGGAAAAGCAGGATCAGACGTGGAGGAAAGCTAGGGCTGGCTGAGGCCCAGAAACTACCTGGCTGGGGAAGGGGACAGTGCAGCCCAAGAGGAAGTCTCAACTGGCACTAATGTTCTTAGCAGGAAGAGTCAGTGGAAAGATGGCGCAGATACACCGAATGCTAAATGCTCTTTTGATAAGCTTGGCTATGGAAGAAAGAAGACACTAACATAGCTGGAGGGGAACTCGAGGTCACAGAGACCACTCAGACTTTGTCTCCAGGCTGGTCTCCCCCCAGGAGCTCCTGATACACGCTTTTTACTGCAAAGTATATATTTTTTCTCTCTGGATATCCCACCAATAGGTTTTGAATGTGTATGTCCATCCTTATACCCTTATAGCTCCAAGTTTAAGTTCACAGAAGAAGTGCACCCTCTACAGCCAATCACCTTTTTGACATAAAAGCTCAAGTCTGAAATAACCTTAACGTGATCATAGGTGATCCCTGGCTGGGGGCCGCACAGAAGTGATGCTAGCCATTTGCTCATTTAATACACATTGATTTAGTGCTGGAGATGCCTGGATATATAAATAAGAGGGGGTTCGTGACCTTGAGAAGTTGTATATCCATAAATAGCTATAAACAACACGGGGGGTCTGACAGTAAGGCAGGTACTGTACTTGTGTGTGCACAGAGTTACACTTGCACAAGTCAAGTATCCCTTATCCAAAGTGTGTGGGACCAGAAGAGTTTCAAATTTCAGATATTTTTCAGATTTGGGAAAATCTGCATCTTCACATACACACATACATGAGATACCTTAAGGATGGGACTCAAGGATAAACACAGAATTCACTTATGGTTCATAAATATCTGTGGTATTCACACAGTCTTGAAAAGGAATTCTTAAAAATACTTTTGGTGTCTGTATGTTTTGAAAGCGACTCATCACATAGGATCAGGTGTGTGGAATTTTCCACTTGTGGTGTCAGCGTTTGGAGCACTTTGGATTTTGACATTAGAGATGCTCAATTTGTGTGTGTGTGTGGTGTGTCTGTGTGTATGCATAAAGCTGCACACATAGCACCTGCACACGTATACAGGGATATCCCTCAGATACGTGTATAGGGATGGTGAACTAGAAAAGTACTTGACTGTCTCTTCTGGAGGTAACCCTACTGGATTCAAAAGGGAGGCGCATAAACGTGTGGTCATCAGACTCGCTCTGCATCGCCTCTATGTAAAACAGATCTCAAAGCCCTCACTGCTCTGTGGCTGTCACATCCAAACTCCTCCAGGTGAGCGCAGTACCGCCTCGCTGGGACCCAGTGACCATCCATGCCATGGACACCCTCCTACCGAAGAGCTTCTGCAGGACTTGTCCATCGTATAAATCTTCAGCCAGGTCTTTCACAATGATTCTTTCTCCAACCAGCACATCATTAATCCAGTCAATTAATACCTACAGAGGAAGAGGAAGACAAGAGAATTACAGGGTATTTTCATATAGCCTAGCTTTCGTATCCAGAACAATCAAAACCTAAATGAACTTTAAAGACAGCAAAGTGACCCACAAGACCCAATGCCCCAGGCAGAGGCAGCACAAGTCTAGAGGCCCTGCGTGTTTTTGGGTGTCAGCCCTTGGGGGCTGGCAGCAACAGTGTCTCTGCTGATCTTTTCTGGCCCCATTGCTTTTTCTCTGACAACAAACAACACTTTCAGAGCAGTGGACTCTGGAGTTGCACAAATGGAAACCCAACTGTACATATGCACTGCCTTGGGTACCACTTCATTGTGTTCCTCTGGCATCTACGAATGTGTGTCCACTCCTCTGTGACCTATGGCGTGTGCATCTATCTGTCATCTATAGATCAGCACTGTGTCATCTATGAACTTGTGTGTGTAGCCTCATGATCGATGGACCTAACGCTGCTTAGTTATCTTCCTGAGCCTCTATTTCCCTATCTCCAACACAGGATGAAAGTGTCTCCCACATTAGGTGGTAGAAAAGAATTACCACATAAGAGTTGAATAAAAACAGTCTGACTTATATATGAGGCACCCTCCCCTGAGGGCAGGTGACAAGGTACCTATTTTAACCCCCATGCCCAGGAGGGCTGGTCATCATGGAAGGGAACAGGCTTGCCCAAGATAACAAAACTCACACTAGAGACAGTAGCAGGTCCCTGGTCTCCTGGCCCTCTGCAGCGGTCACTGGCTGAGGCCTGCAGGTGCCAGGCACCGAGTGGAGACACTGCCTGTGATGCTCCATTTCATTAACACACACAACCCCATGGGGAAGGCAGATATCACCAAGTCCCTTTACGACTTGTATACTACTTTGCTTTTAAATTCACTAAGATAGTAGTTACATATAATCAAATCACCTTAGTCACTTTCCTAATCACTGAGCCACAATATCAACACCCACAGCTTAAAGGAGGGAGGTTTATTTTGGCTCATGCTTCAGTCCATAGCTGGCCAGCTTCAAGGCAGGACGGCATGGCAGAGGGGTTTGGGGGAGGAGAAGCTGCCCGATTCACTTACCTTCCAAAGGTCTCGCCTCTGAGCACATGAGGTTTTTTTTTTGGGGGGGGGACACCTCAGATCTAAATCCTAGCAAAAATGCACCAGTTTTATGCATAAAAGGATGAGTTTTGGTCACTACACAGCTGGGCGATCCCTAGGACCACCCTGGCTCGGAACAGTTCCTCCTCCTCCTCCTTCAGGATGGTGATTACTAAGTACCTGCTGTGTACTAACACAGCCTGGCTTCAAGAAGATTGGCATTGGGAGAGCGGAACACTTCACTAAAGAATTACAACATCAAAAGTACCCATCTCAGCGGCATAAGCACCTGCCTTGCAAGCAGGCAGTCCTGAGTTCGATTCCCGGTACCGATAAAAATGAAAAAGACACACACACAAAAAAAGTACCCATGTCGGGGTTGGGGAGTTCATAGTACTAAGGGGCAGTTGAGGGGCACTCATCTCACTGGAGGAGATTCTTAAAAATGACTACGAGTGGATCCCAAAGATAGTATTTAAAGATGGACAAAGCAGTCTAGACATAGAAAAAAATAAAAGCTCTCCCTGACAGTGAGGCAATCATAGTGACCGGCAGGGCGACAATAGGACCTTGGTCAATGCCCGAGGGTGTGGCCTAACTGCAACCCTGTGTGTCTCCAAACGCTTCTCTGTGAAACTGAGCCCAGGTGTAGGTCTGGGTGGGGAGACCAGTGCTGAGGCTGAGCCAGTCAGAACCCTCGCTGACCAGGTCTCTCCACTGAATGTCTCCTAGGCAGGAAGCAGCACAGCCCTTCCAGCACAGGACAGCCCAGGGTTAGCCCCCGTCCAGGGCCCCTGTTAACCGTAGCCTAGCACCCTGAATAGGTACAGTGACAGGCTCAGAGTCCTAGTGGACCACAGCAGTCATCAGTGGGTGTAGCACTAGTGACATCAGGAAAGGGCCAGATGTCCAATATGCAGAAGCCAGCCCACCCCCAGACTCAGATGAGGGTCCCGCATATAGGTCTGCATGGCCTCAGCCCTGACCACTTTCTTTCTGTTGCCTCCTTGGATTCTAGAGTAAGGCACAGATGTAGATAGGAAACAGACAGAAGGGATATTTATCTACCTTCTCTGAGAGCCTGAGGCTGAATTTCCTCATCTAGAAAACGGGGGTGACACTACCTCACAGGGTACTTTTGGGGGTCCTTGAGGAAAGCAGTAAGGGATGTGTGAATGCACAGGTCCTGGCCAGTGTGAGCTCTTTGGTCTCGACTTCTCTGGTGCTTATGATGAACACTATCCAAGGGGCACTGGTCAGGTCAGATGACCACGAGATGCCGGAGGGTGGCACTGCTGTGACTGGCCACCAGCTGAGTGGGGTGACTAGGAAGCCTCTCCCAGCTTCTTACCTTCATCAGTTCTTGGAGTTTGGGGTCACTGCGTGAGTTTGGATCCACCATCGTCCGCACTTCATTCTCCTCTTTAAAAAGAAAAAGCGTTGAGTGGCATGGGTGTGCAGGGAAGTGTTAAGCTCATGCAAAGGGGCTGGAGGCAGTTACCCAGCATGGTGTCCTCCGGGTCCAGCTCGAAGGGGATGGGGCTGAGTGGCAGGTTGATGGCATTCATGCCCTCCTCCTGAAGTTCTGAGACTGAAAGACAAAGGAGAACTGGTCATATTCAGCCAGCTGACCACAGGGGTCTTGGATCTGGCTAGCACACATGTTTAATACTCATATTGAGGAAAAGCCCCATCAAGGTCAGATTATAGCTATTACTCAGCCAGCAATCGATTCTTGGCTTCTCTGTGCTAAAAGGATCTAATTATTCTTTTAATCTCGCCTCTTCTGCCTGCCATTCCGAAGAAATGAGGTCTCACTGGGCCTTCTGGCACTCTGGGAGGCTGTGGCAGAAAGGTCTCAAGTTTGAGCCCAGCCTGGGCAATTTAGTGACTTAGTAAGGCCCTCTTTTAAAAACAAACAAACAAACATGCATTGGGGAAGAGATTCTGTGCCCAGGCCATGAGTACAATAATCCCCAGTATAGGAAAAAAAGAAAAGAGAGAGAGATAGGGAGGCCTCACCGGTACAGAAATCTACCTCCCTTCAGGAAAGATTTCAGGATGAGCGGAAGTCAGGTGGACACTGCTTTGTCTCTGAGGCCTCTGCCTTCTGCCCATACCTCCTTCCAGGTTTGGTTTAATGTGAGACTCGCCACCCTCAGTCACCTCGCCTCTAACTGCTGTTCTGCTCTGGCTTCTCTGGCGCCCTTCTGGCCACCATGCAAAGACCACATCAGGACATCTCTGTCCTGGTCCTTCCCTGGGCTCCAGTCTGGGTCTGTGAGCTCCCCTGGTTGTGGGACCAAGGCAAGGCCATCTAACCTCTCCATGTCTGTTTCCTCCGCTGAAAATGAAGAATTCTCACTGGATGACCAGCATCCACTTTTCAAATCCTAGAAATTTACCAATCCATTTTCCTAAGAAACACTGAAAACGGTCAATGACCACTCAAGACTGGGCAACCTGTTCTTCCAGGAGCATCCTCCGCCCCCTGCAAGGAGCCCTGCTAAAAATCACCTCCACCCACTCTGCCGTGATGGGCACCAGCTGAGCTCTGACCTCGGATTACCCCGCCTGAGAGCCAACTCACAGCCCCTTCCTTTTCACCAATTACGCACAGAAAGAGCATTTGTATTGTAGGAATTGATCACCGAGAGGTTAAGGAGCTAATATGGCAGCTGCCACCAACCTTAATAAAAGCGATGGACCATCTTTCCATTTGATTTTTTTCTTTTTATTGACTCTGGCCTCCCTGATTGCCAGCATAGGTTTGCAAGAACTCTTAAGCACAAGGCAGCCAGTTACAAAGAGTTCTTTCAAATCAGCAGACTCTGTGATAGTTGCCGTTGGACAGGGAATGAGCTAGCCTAACGGAGTGTGGAAAGCAGGTACTGGTGTCCACTCCCTCAGCGGGTCCCTGACAAGCACGTGGGGCATCACCCAGGGACTCTTGGGTCTCCAGATTCACAGGCATCCAGCATTCTGTAGAATTGTTGTTCACTAAATACAATAGAAAGATAATGAGTGACAACTCCAAAGCTTCAATGATTTTGGAAAGAAGAGATTGCATGTGTTTTCTAGCTAAGTACAACTACTTCCTTGTACGCCTATAATTTCTTCTAAGTCTAGCAGATTGCTTTCTTTTCCAGGCTATTTCTCATAAGGATACAACTCCTCCCCCGCTTTTTTTCTTTTGGAAACAGGGTTAAGTTGCCCAGACTGGACTTGAACTTGTGATCTGTGGAGGACCACCTGGATGACTCTCCTTGAATAAAGAACAGTTCTCTCCATTTTGGCTAAACCTAGCCCTAGCTCCATATTCTGGTATGTACAGAGCTGGCCAGGCCATTTCTTTATCCCTTCAAAGAAAGGGATAAAGCAATGTAAATAGTTGAGGTGCTGATGCATAATCTTTGAAGCTAGGTGACAGGCTCTGTTTACCCACCCCATGACTCCCCGAAAACATGAAAACATGGATTGCAGGTTAGGAAGGCAGAGCCACTGCTCATGCTGTCAACTGGGGTCCAGCCTTGAGATAAGAGGCTATGACTTCCCAATGCAGAGAAGTTTACACATCAGAGCTGAAGCACCAACACCAAAACATTAGCTGGCACTACCTCAACTGTATTATGCAGATTACTCTTTCTGTATCTCCTTCTCTCTGCATAGTGCAGAAGTGTTTTCAGGCCTCCTCCCCAGCTCACAGTATTCACAGCATTTTCTTTTTCTTTCTTTTTTTTTTTTGGTTTTAATTGGTACCAGGGATCGAACTCACGACTGCCTGCTTGCAAGGCAGGTGCTTATGCCGCTGAGCTAAATCCCCAGCCCCAACACAGCATTTTCACAATCACTCATCCTTGAGCCACACCCTTCTTCATGAATGAATAAAACCTGGACTCAGTGCTGGGTCAAGGCCTTTGTTTCCGTGAACCACCATCTTGACTGGACTTAGGGCCTCCTTGACTCCCCATAACTATAAATATGTCTTGGTGTCTTTATTCTCTCTGTGGGCTGCACTAGATGTGGTAGATTGGAATGAATTTAATGGAATTCCAATAACTTTTCCATGAGATTACAAATATAGATTTAACTTACTGAGACAAGGACTGGGAAAGGCTCTCTATAGTGAGCCCCCTGCCTCAGCCTCCTGAGCTGCTGGGATTACAGGTATATACAACCATGCCCAGTAACACACAAGTGTGCATGCAATGGGCAGTGGAAATGAAGTTGTGCCCAAATATGAATGCAAGGCTGAGCTCCTAGCTGAGGAAGAAGCCTGGGGCTGCTCAGGATTTTCTCTCTTCTAGCCACGTTCTCCCTGCAGGTCTGTGCTGTCTTGTTCAGTAGCCACTCACATTCGTGCTATTTGTTTCAGTGAAACAGTCATTTAGTTCCTCAATTTAGGTGCCCAGTGGCCTGGGTGGTTGCTGCCTACTGTCCCTCCTTTGCCATGTCACAGGAAGTTCAACTGGATGATGTGGAAACCCATTTATCTAAATGCTGAGGACGTGCACATGTAAAATTGCAGGCCAGATCTGACTCCAAGATTCAGGCTTACAAACTTAACCACTCACTCAGTGCACTCTGGTAAGTCTGTTAGCAGAGGTCTCAGAACAGAACTTGCAATTTTCGATACCCTGATACCATCATAGGACATAAGAACAAACTCGTTCTTTCACACTCCTCTCCTCCTACATGGGACCACTGCTTGTACAATGGCTCAAGTCAAAAATTCAAAGCATCATCAAGTTCTCCTTTTTCCTGACCTTTTGCATGTAACATATTGGCAAGCTTTCTAGGTTCTTTACCTCCACCACATCGTGGTTCAAATCATCATTATGTTTCACTTGGACCACTAGCATCAGTGTCTCTGGGGTCTTTTACTTTAGCTTGCATTTCTCCACCTACTTGGTTGTGCAAATAAGATGTAAACAGAATCACACATCCTCCTGCTTTCAACTTTTCTGTAGATATTCATCATCTTCAGAATAAACCCTAACTCTACTGTGACCTATAAGAACCTCTAATTAGCCTTTGGTCTCTTTTTCATGTTGTTTTTTCTTGGCAGGACTCATCACAATTTGAAGTAATTATTATTGCAATATATTGTCTGTATTTCCACCTCCACCACCCCCTCCTCCCCGCCCCAACAGTAAGCTGGGTGAGGAATGGTACTTTTTTCTTTCCTTTTTGTCTTTTGAGGCAGGGTTTTACTCTGTAGTGCAAACTGGCCTTGAACTTGTGCTAATCCTCCTGCCTCAGCCTCCCAAGTGCTGGGAGGGATTGTTCTATTCATTATTAGATCCCAAAGAAGCCAGATGGTGCAGTGGTTAGAAGCTAGGTGGCCTACATTCAAATCCAGGGCCTGCCACTTATTAGCCACGTGACCTTGGCAAATTTGCCAGCCTCTTGTACCTTAGTTTCCTCACCTACATAAATGAGTGATAAAAAGATCACCAACCTCCTATAGTTGCTAGATTGAAGATTAAAAGGGGTTAACCTATATATTCAGAAAAGTGCCCATGCCTGGTCAGAGCTATGTAAATTTATGCTGCTGTTATTATCACTTGCTATTATTACTGAAAATAATACCTCGAACATAGTGTGCACCCAAGAAATATTTGCTGAATAAATAATCCGAATCTTAAGACCACTCTTCATCTGCACAGGTTATGTGTGGAGGCAGAATTTGCCAAAATGGTTTACAGGATGGAAAGGATTTCAGCTTGTCCCCAGGGGGAAAAACACATTTACTTTTTAGACCAACCAACCCCGCATGTGCACGTATCTGGGGCAGCCTTTCCAGCTTACATTTTGTAAGAGAAGAAAAGCTGCATCTGCCCCAAGATTGTTGGGCTGCCAGAACCAATTTGCAAATATTAAAAAAAAAAAAATAAGGTATTTAAACATCTCTTAAATGTGGCTAGAAAAGCAATATTCACAGCCAGGATTCTTAAAGGTGGACCTCAACAGAATCTCCTTATACGTGTAGATCATTGTTAAAAATGTTTTCAGATGAAAAATTAGACAGAAACCCTCCCCTCTGCCTCTTTAATTCACTCACAGAGACATAACAAACCCAAGAAGAAAGGCTGAGATATGTTTGCAATTGGAAATGTTTTTTCAGGAAATGACTTGGTGCAGGAACATCATTCCCATCCCATTAACTGCTGACTTCTGGCCAACTGTTGGTAAAACTGAATATGCAAACAGCGCGGCTCAGGCCTGGCCCCGCCCCATGGGGCCCCATTAGAGCCACTTTCCCAAAACAGTCTGCTTGGTTTGAAGGCTTCATTTCTATTAAACTAGTGCGTGGCCCCGCAGAAGCCCTCACCAATCCCCGTGCTCTGGAAGACAAAAGAGCTGCGGCTGAATTTCCTCAGCACAGAGCCTGAATCTGATGTTTATCCCGAACCTCCAACAATCCAAAAGTGGGTGAATGTGGAGCCCTCCGCGTCTTGCGGTGCCATTAGTCATAACTTAATAAACAGCTCAAATGCCCGGTGGAAGAAGGTGGGTCAGGCAGGAGGGGGACTGCTCAGCTCCTGAAGCCAGCACTGGCTTTTATATCCTGACTCTGGGTCTAGCTGTGCAGTAGAAAGTACACACACAGGCTTTGGAGTGCGTGCGAGAGACCTGCGTCTGAACCGTAGTTTATAGGGCCTCCCTGACCTTGGTATAAAATAATTCTCCTGACACAAAAGCTAAGCTGAGACTGGTGGTTTCCTTTTTCATATTTCCTCTATTAAAAGAACCCTTATGTTATTTCAGGATATACCCTTCCCGCCTATGTTACAAGGGGCGATTCTGATTGGTGGAACCAACTGTCATCTCAGTTCCTATAGCAGTAAGTGGCTCGCTCACTGTCCTATGATCATCCCCTACAGTCGCGCAATACCAGCCTGTGAATGGTGACAAGAGTTTTTATGAACAGTTTTCCTCCATTTTAAAGGGAGACCCAACAAAGAGAAGGCATCTTTCTCCTTCTAGTCATCTTTGCTTTAATATGTTACTTATAGATTTGCTGCAGCCATTTTGTAGTCATGAGGTGAGTTTGCTGAAGGAAGAAAGAAGCTAATATATGAGGTTGGCACAGAAGAAACAAGGAAGAGAGTTCTCATGGATACTGTTCTAGATGTCTCTTTATAGGAGACGAAATCAATTCCCTATTGTGTAAGACAGGAGAGTAGGTGTTGTCTGGGACCTGAAGCTTAGATCTCCATAATTGATACATAGGGACACCAGGATGATAAAGCTGATGGGCAAACAGAGTAGGTCTGCAACCAGCGATAACTCCTCTTTTTTTTTTTCTCCAGGTGGAATGCTACCTCCTGCACCGGCTCCGGTGGCCCAGGGCCGGAGCCACAGGGTTTACTGGGACCTGAGCCATGCTGGGACCTAGAGCCCGGGAAACCAAGAATCACTTTCCTCTTCCCTGTTTTGTTTTGTTCAACTTCAATATACATGAAAGTATGGACAGCTATTTTGAAGAGAATGAGACACTCTACGCCAGCCATTAGTGACTTCCTGTTGTCTGGTTTTGAAGACCTAAAACGCCTTCCTCATTCTGTTCAGATCAGTTTTATACTAGGTTGTTTTGTATGAATTCTCTGTATGTGAAGTCATGGACAACTATTTGGAAGACAACAAGAGACAATATGATAGTGAAGATCTCAGGTCGTCTAGCTTTGAAATGTATATCTCTTACATTGCTTTCTTATGTCTTATTTTGTTCATTTTGCTGTATTTAATTTTACCCCCTTTAAAATAAAATTTACAAAAAAATATCTCTTGCACCCTCGGCTATGTCTAGAGACTCAAAGAACACTAGGATAGAAACAAATATGTAGAGAAGAGTGAACAAATGTTCCTAAAAGGAAGAAAAAGAAGAAGAAGAAGAAGAAGAAGAAGAAGAAGAAGAAGAAGAAGAAGAAGAAGAAAAAGATTAATTTATGCAGTCAAGTAATTTCAATCACTCAAGCAGTAAGTATTACTACGTGCTTCCTCTGAAGCAGGCCCCATGTGGGAAACAGGATTCAGATCTGGAGAGTGGAGATGAGCCTGCCTCAGTTAGCCCGCCGGTGATGGGAGAGGCAGGCCCATGAACACACGGCACACCTGTGTAACAACAGCGAGGAATAGACAAACAGAGCTGGTGTGGATGAGTGTGGTGATTACGTGGAGCACAGGGGATTCAAGGAGCAGGGGGAGAGGAGGAAACCATGGACAGGCAAATGAGGAGGTGCAGTCAAGTGCTTGGGTCTCAAATTTAATTGAAAAATAAAGCAAAAACAGAATGCCCCCAAACACCTAGACATAATGAGCAATTATACCAAGCTTGTAGGGTTCCGGTTAACAAACAGAAGTCAGTGCCTTCCAGTATACTAGCAATGGATGACTGGAATTTGAAATTAACAGCACAGTATCATTTACAATAGCACAAAAATGTGACACTTAGGTTTAAATCTAAGAAAATGTATTTGGGGCTGATATACAGAGTATTATAAAACCCTGATGAAGTAAATTAAGAAAGATCTAGATAGATGGAGAGATATTCAGTGTTCATAGATTGGAAAACTTACAATGGTTAAGATTTCAGTTCTTCTCAACTTTGTGTATAGATTTGATGCAGCCTTAGTCAAAATCACAGCAAGCTGTTTATTTTGGACTGTGACAAATAGAACAGCCTGTAAATGCCAAGGCCAAAGAAACTCCACGGAAGCATACAGTTGTAATGACTACCAATTCTGAGACTGTAATAGATGCACAGTGAAACTGAGCAACTAATAAATGGATCACGGATGGTAGAAGCCAGGTTTCTTACTTTTACAGTGAGATGTCATACACAAGGAGAGAAGGCGAGGATGACGCCTGTAGTAACAGATTAGATTGGGGACATCAGAAAGAACTCAAGTTTAGTTCAATATAGATACAGGTATTCTATGTGTAGCTAAGAGATATGTGCACTTTAATAATTTTCTTGCTGTGTTAGGCGAAAGAGCCTAGAAAAAAATGACTCCATAATAGCAATGAACAAACCTAGGACCTAGGGCCCAGGTCTTCTAGTCTAATTCTTTTTTTGGTAGCAGGGATCGAACTCACAATCTCACACTTGCCAGGCAGGTGCTTGTGCCACTGAGCTATATCCCCAGCCCCTCTAGTCTAGTTCTTTAACAAACAAAAGAAGCTGTAATTCCTTGGAAAAAGGGTTAATTCTAAGACTGGTGATATATAAGATATGCCAGGAACTAGAAAGGGAAGAGGAGGAGAGAAAGGGAGGGATGTCAAAGGGAGACAGGAGGCACTTAAAAATGATTGTCAACATTGGAGCAATTTCAGCAACAAAACGAAGTCTTCTTGGATTATAGCCCAAAGTATACAACAAATATCCGTGAGTCCATACTGAGATAAAAGAGTGGATAAATTAATAAAAGTCCAGGTAATTCGTGGTGATCTCTGCAATGAAACAAGGGAGCATAATTCTTGCTCACTCAGAGCAGGCACAGCACCTTCTGAAGGGCTATATGGAAAGGCAGGAAAAAGCATGACTTTACAATGGGGAGACTTGCTGAGCGCTGCCTCTGCCAGATGGTCACGGTCAACATCAACAGTCACACGCCATGCTGAGGTTGTGAACCTGTGATAGGAAGAGATGAAGAGGGCACTTTACCTCTGTGGGCCTCCCTAGATTCATCAGGAAGAAAACCAGGGGGAGAGGGTCCTGCAAAGTCATCACAGCTAAAGGGAGACTAAGAAGGCGGGATGACAAAATGTCATGTGGAACCCTAAAGCAGAAAAAAATAGGTGAGATTCAAAACTGAAGCCATCTAAATAAAATGTGGACTTCAGTTAGTAGTATTATCAATACTGGTCATTAATTGGAACAAGTGTACTATGTCACGGTGTGATATTAATAAGTGAGGAACCAGTGGGATATATGGAAACTCTGTACTGACTTTGCAATTTTTCTGTAAATCAAAACTATGGCAAAAACTATTTTTTAAAAAATCAATCTGAATTTGCTATTATTGCAAAAAAGATATATAGTGTTCATGGGGAACAGAAGAATCCACGGTTTTACAGGACACATATGTTTCTTCCTATCACCAAGGAGACAGGGATAATTCGCCCATCATTAACTGACTTCTATAGACACATTTACACAGGACACAAAGGACAAAGATCATTTCAGAGCCCTAAAATGCAAGCTGTCCTCATTCCCAACTGAGAACTCAGGTTTCCAGGAAGAAAAGTGCATGGTTGTCTTTTAAAAAAAATGTTTCCAAGGCTGCGAGAGCACAGAGCTTCCTCATCACTTAAGGATGCCTGGCAGGGTCATTTTTACTTTCTTGGAGGGAGTCTGTCTCATTGGGGAAATCATCACTGAGGTTTGGTGGTCTCTTCAATTATTTCCTCTGAAAGTTTTATATATGGCCATGGTCCCTGCTGGGAGTCTTCATACCAGGGGATCTTGTATTAGTTTTCTCTTGCTATAGCAGCCAATTACTAGAAACTCGGGCATCTTAAAATAATACAAACATATTATCCTTACAGCCCTGCAGCTTAGGAATCCATTGTGGGTCTCCCTGGGCTACAGTTACGGTGGCAGCAGGCTGTGTTCCCTTCTGCAGTCTTTAGGGATCATTCATTTTCTTCCCTTTTGTAGCTTTCTCAGGTTGCTCACATCCTTGGGCTTGTGGCTCCTTCCTGCACTCTTCCCAGCCAGCAATGCGGGGAGTGGCCAGAACCTCACATTGCATCTTTTCTGCCCCTCTTCCACATTGAGGTACCCTGTGATCACACCAGGTCCACCCAGATCATCCACGGCACTCTCCCCACTTTAGGATCAGGTGCTTGGCAACTGAAATTCCACCTGTAACCTCAAATCTCTTTCGTCACATAAGGCCATAATCATAAATTGTGGAAATTATTGCACGGACATCTTTGGGGGCACCATGGGTCTATCTACAACAGCTTTTTTCATTCAGGGGACAAGTTCTGCTGTTAACATGCACCCTTCCCTACAACATGTGGGTTCACTTTTCCTCCACCTGAGATTGCCAAAAAAAAAAAAAAAGCAAAATCCTAACCCCACCCACAGGTCCCTTAGACAACAAAAGATTTTATTACTTTTGACAAAAATGATGCTTGTTTCAGCAGCCATAATTTAGGGAATGGGAACCAATTCTTGGTGGCCTCAGCAGACTGCCAGGGTCTCACCACACTCTCCTGTACTAGACTCAGCTGTTTGATCACTAAGGTCTGACTTCTGGCCCTTGAAACACTAACACCCTGAAAAAAAAAAAAAGCAAAGGGAGAGGCTGGTGCTGGGATGGGAACAGAAAGGAGGAGGATCTATACAGACCCAAGTCTCAGTTTCCATCAGAGTCTTTGTTCTGGTCAGCCAAGCATGGGACCCAGGGGTCCTCCAGTCACTACCAAGCACAGGAGGACGTTGAAGCTCCAGGCGGTCAGGACCATCGGAATGGAAACACTGGTGGAGGTCTCCCGCAAGCCATGGGAGGGAAACACCACACAGGCACAGAGGTCCAGGTGTTAAGTTCTGCCCCTCCTTGAACAGAGGGTGGTGCGGATGTGCCATTGTGGGTAGATATGGTGGAAATGCCACCTCATTGTGCATGGGTGAGTTTGTAAGAGCCTGGGGAGACCTGATCTTGTATATGTGGGCACAGTGGGTGACCCTAAGAGCAACCAGGGTAGAGCTGACACTTCATCTCACTGACTCATAAGCATGCCTGGGGCCTCTCTGATGTCAGGGCCAGGCCGGGAGCTCTGAATACAAAAGCCAGGCAAGTATCTACCTGCTACTGTTGGCTGGCTCCTGAAGGGGAGCTTCCCTTGGTAGCCCTCAGCTCAGGACAGTGCCAGGCACCAGGCAGCCAGTGAGTGTGTGAAGGTGGCTGGGTGTATTCACAAACTGTGATATAATGTGATAAGGGCCATCAGGCAGTCGGATCCAAGTCCTGAGAGCAGAGTACAGACACCTTGGAGGGCCAGCAGGGTCCCAGGGGCACAGGAGACCCCGCTGCAGCCTCTCCTCCTCACTTGTCCACATTCCTATGCACCATCTCATTCTCCATGCTTCATCTCATTCTCTGTGGCTCTTTAACCTTCTCATCTAAATCCTCCTTATTTATTCATCCGGAACAGCTAGTCACTTATTTCTGCAGTGGCCCCAGACTGCTTCAAAAGTACCACATCAACCACTCATCCACTTGAAACCCCAGGTGGTGACCTCCATACGAGCGACAGCTCTCAGAGTAGCCGGGAAACAGACGTGGCATGGCTGTGTCTCACAGTGTCAACCTGCTGGTGGGCGAATCCTGGCTCTGTCTCGACATCAGGCAGTGGGTTATCCTGAAGGAGGCCCTGTTGTGGACACTCACACTTATTTGAATCATGATGATGACAGTGAGAAAGCACAGTGACTATACTTCCCGGAACCAGGCGTGTGTGCACACGTGTACATGCAGACCCATTCAATAGTCACAACAATTCCATGCGTAAATACTGTTGCTTCCATTTTATAGCAGAAGAAAATAAAAGCCCAGAGAAGTCACACAACTAGAAAGATCGTGGCCACTAGATACTAGAAAACTAGAAAGCAGATACTAGTAGATATACTAGACACTAGTTAACTAGAAAGTAGAGCCTTGATTTTTGACCCCAGACCAGCTAACTCCAAAGCACATGTCCTGATCACTGTTCTGCATACATGGTCTCTGTTTTATGTAACAGCTTTTAATTTTTATATGAAAATACAGCT